CAGTTCCAAACAAAGATTTTGTATAAAATAAATAAGTCTTGAAATAGTTTAGTCCTAATATAGAAATTTATTTTTGGAATTGATTTTAGAGAAGTTAGAGTCTAAATCTAGATCTTAGCGTCTACGTCTAGATCTAGTTATTGCGTAGATTTAGATTTAGTCTAGATCTAGAATCTCTAGATCTAGAATCCAAATACATAAAATAAATTTTATGAGTTTAGGCCGGAAAAAGTGTATTGTATACATTTCATAGTGTACGTAGATCTAAATCAAATTTGAATGAAATAGTTCATTTCTTTTCATTCTTAACACGGCAGATGACGTCATTAGTTAATGTATAAGCAATAGTGACGTCACAGTTTTATGCGTTCTTTTTCACATATATTAATGCTTTTCCGGTTGCATAAATAATACTGTTTCTCTACATTCGAATACGCCTTTAATTTTTATTTTTCTTCTTTAAGTAAAATTGTGGTTATACATTTAAAACATCTAACATATTATTTTCAACAAAAGTCCGTAAAAAGTTCTCCATATACCGCTGCCGATTCTGACGTGATGTCCGGCGAAAATTTTTTGCGGACAGAGAAAGAGAGAGAGAGAGAGAAGAGCGCACATGGCCTTTTATAAATTAGGATTTTTTTCCCAACACCAAAACAAAGTAATAAAAAGTAAATTCTTTTCCACTAATGCAATGTTTTATAAAGGGAAGTAATTGTGTTTTCCTAATTTATCAAAGGTAAGTAAATGCTAAAGGACTAAATATAAATAATTTTCAGACATAATTAGAATTTTTGTAAAAGATGATATTATTTAAAAATTGTGTTTAATAAACATGCCGACAGTTATTATTATCAAGTTTGAAAAAGTAGTGAAGTAGCATTGTTTTCTCTACAGTTAGTACGTTCACTTTCCCCGAAAAAAGTCTACCGCCCCCTCGAACAAAATGAAATTTATATAGAAAATATATACTTTTAACAGTGTCCGCCCCCCGTTGAAAGTCTCCCCCCCCCCCCCGTCCGAAAATTTCAAGTGTCCCCCCCCCCCCCCCTCCGGAGATAAACAAGTTAATTAAAAAGTCTAGTGACAATTTTAGCGCAATTTCCTTATGTTATCTAAAAATAGCTCTGTCGTAGCGTAAATCAAGAGCAGGGTTAGTAAAACCATTGGTTAGTTATTAAAACGTTTTTTATTAAAAATAAATTTCAGTATTTTACATGTTTTATTTACAATAGAGTTACATGACTAAAAACCATTGCGCGCCTAGCTACTGAACGTGATGACGAAGCCATAGAACGTGATGGTGCAGCTATTGAACGTGATGACGCGTGTGGTGTGGTTGGAAAAAATGCCTACTAATTCGGTCCAAATTTTAATTAATTCAAAAAATTTTTTGTGACCGAACGAAAGGATATTTTTGAAAACTTTCTTCGGCAATATTGTTCTAAATTATGGCAGGAATCGATTGGTACATGTTTCAAGTCGCTAAGTGGTCTGGTTGCCGAGATATGGGCAAAAAACTGCTTTTTTTCGAGGTTTTTTGGCTTTTCCGGGAAAACCATGAAAGAAACCCGGACTTTTTATAGCCTATGTTCATCCTCGTAATTTGCTTAACATAATTGCTTTTGGAACTAGTCATCGATATTGCTTCGTTGAGGAGGAGATACGACTTAAAGCTGCGGACACACATCCATCCATTCATTCATTCATTCATTCATACATCCAGAAATGACGGGTTAATAAACGCAATTCTCCAGAATGGAAATTGCGCTAAAAATTTTTTGGAAGAAACACTGGTAATAACATACTACACCAGTTACACACAGCTTACTCTTGTCGTGTGCGATAGACTAGTAGTAAATTACATCTTGTCTTATTGAATCAACAGAGAATGGTGGCTGATATGAAATCACGAGACTCGTAGACCGTTTCTAGAGTGATACTGTAGTCCATGTCACATTATTAAACCGGCAAAAACATTTTACTAGATTATAAACTTTAATTCGATAGGAAGACGTTTGTGTCACACCTTGCTGTGTGCAGGGTAGGGTCTTGGCCGCCTGGTATTTGACTTGAGGTGACTGGAAGTTGACCAATAGTTCTTGGTCAATTTCAGTTTCAAAACAAAACTTTTTTCGGGGCTTTGCCACCGTGTTTTCCCGAATTTACCTTCCAGATCAGGTCGAGATGTAACTCACTCATCCATGTCATAAAACCCACATCTAGCTTACTGCGTTTGACAAGTAATACCGGATTTTTTCGAAAAGATGATTTAATTACTTGTGCTTTTAAAACAATGAGCGAAAATCCCAACAATAATATTCAAATTTTGAAAAACAATGAAAATAATCTCCAAGCTTTGGTCTCAGATAACATTGATGTCCTGAACACTCTGGTCGACGGCAACGATGGTTTTCAAATAATAATAAAACTAATGGACAAACTAGAAGCTTTGATCACGAAAACTCAACAAGTTGGAGTTCATACTACGTCATACAACGATTATGATGTTTATTCATATAAGTTTGATAAGACAATTGGTATGTTGGTAAAAGCTGTAGATTTGACTGTGCAACCAACACAATGCATGACTGTAGTTACTGAAAATAAAAGACCAGTAACAGCATACCCATCTGCTTCTATACCTTGAGATTGTGACATTAATTAGCAATTAGCACACCCGGATTGAAACTAGTTAGGTAGACTCAATATTGTTTGGAGATATTTGCTTTAAGGTAATTATGATTATTTTTTTTATTATTTTATGAATAGCTTATTTGATCCGTTTGTATTATGTCTTATTAACATGAATGTATTATTGTTACATCAACCCGTTTCTTTATATCAAAACAAACATAAGACAATAGTAAGAAGTGTATTAAGCCAAATATATTGCCGCCATTTGGTTTTGCTTTCAGAAGAAAGAAACTGCTACTTTTCCAAAAGGGTGGAAAAGGTAACAAAAAATTGAACCATTAAATACATACATTATTTCGCAGAATTAATACAGTCTCACCCAGTGGCCTCAATGAGGTGGGTGTCACCCGTAGCGGTAACTGAGGGTGTTACTGTTACCCTCCCACTGGAATAAATTTGCACTTTTGGTTTGGTGTTACCTCTCTCATAGTAGTGTGTTATTTTAACTGGGTAAAAATGTTTTGATTGTAAATCTTACGATTTTTCTTCACTGGTCTCACTCTACATGTTATGGTCTAAAATACTCTAAAACACCAACGGAAAAACTCATGCCCAGCGTAGATTGTCGGCCCTAGGCCCACTCTTATTCCTTTATGGCTGCTTAACTCAGGGTATATTTTTTTAAATAGCAATATTAACAAATAGTGTTATTTTAACGCCAAGATTCAGACACAGTTACAAAAGACAGATCTAGTCCTAGAGAGAGTATTTTCAAACCAGACTGAGATCGGAAATCGCCACTCCGTACAACATCGCTTATTTGAGTTATTTCTAACAAGATTTTTAAAAGAAAAATGAAACAGCGTAAATTATTATGATCAACACACTGTTTACTTTGTTGATACGTGTCGTTAATTTCATATTCCCAACTAATATTTTCCTCATAAAAGAAAACTATTACAATAAGCTATTCCAAAATTTAAAAAAAATAAAAAATTTGTTTGTTTATTTTGTCCTGTTAAATTTAAAATGTTCAGGTAAACGATTATAATTTCTATTTTCCAATAGTGGAGATTTCCACCTGCGCTTGACCTAGTTATTTCATCCTGAAAGAAAACTTTTGTTTGGCTAACCTCACTAACCTGTTGTCCGATAGAAAAAGGTACACTTTAATGTTGAATGAAAACATTTAGTTTGGTCGATGTATTTTACCTAGAAATATATTTAATTCCTGTGTTTCATGTTCACCAATGAATTAATTTTAAAATAACACCTGTTTTACCTGAGTGGCAGGTACGACTAAGTTGACAACCAAACCCGGAAATCGAAAGTTAACAGTTAGCCCACCAACTCAACCTTTTATCGATAGTCGACTGGATTATTGTCATATTTTTAAGTTCTGCAGAATTAATTTGATATTGATCCCCTACAAATTAGCCTTAACGAACCAACCTTATATTAATTTAAGTAAGCTTCAGTCAAATTTGATACTTTCTTGTCTGTACTGTAAGATTTAATATGGAGGCTTCTAAACTTCTAGATCTATATCTATTGGAGTCTTGAAATTGTCATTGCTAATTTCAACCAGCATCTACTCTATCCCAAAGCTTTAGTTATCCCCTAATCCTAACCATTAACCATAGTCGTTTCTCTAACTTGTGATTAATGGGATGTAAGCGTTAACTAAAATTGCCAACACTAAAACAACACGATTAGTAATTAGGCATGTAGCCAAATTAAATTATTCCATTAAGAATATCTGAGTAGAAAGAAGATTTTAAATTGTATGTAGCTGTAGTTTGTTGTGTGTTAAAATGTTTCTAAAATAGTTTCAGCACTTCATGTTACTGAAACCAAAACCATAACATGATCTTCATATTGGTCTAGCAATTTTTCAAGTTATTCAAATAGTTGAGTCATTTCTATGGAGAATTCAATACTAAATTAGGCTACAATATTTTCAATATTATACCATTTAAATAAGAATCACTTCAGTGCTTTGGTACTGGAATCTGTGAAGGATAAAGTGAATAGTAAATCAATGTGGGACGAAGTGAAGAGCAAATCAACTTGTTATTGTTAACAGCAGAAATAAAATATTGCATTTATTTTATACAAGATTATGTTATTAAACCTTATGTTAAAGGGGTATAATTTTTTTTTCAGACACAATGGGCATCGGTGAAACAACTTTAGCATGGAGATGTTCATTTTTTCTTATGTTTTTCGGTATGTGAATTCTAATAATTATTTTAGAGCATAAATATATAGGGCAAATATAAAAAAAGATTTCTCCTTTAGTCATTAATTTGACACTTTGAATATTTAAGTAATTATATTTGGACCAGATATAAGGTTTGATTCTTCTTAAATATAAAATACGAGCCGGCCCGCGGCATAACATACGCCGCTATTTAGTTGTTTCTAATTTTCAATAATTCATAATTTGTGAATTCGACAGTACCAACGCTGACACTGAAAATATTTCTTTAAAACACTATAAGTAGCTCGTTAAGGACCATAACCCCCCCTCCCTTCCTTCCCTCCCCCCCTCCCCCCCCCTACGTTTAAAATCGTTGGCTCTGCTTGTAAACATTTAGAGTGAACACAGCTCACTAAAACCATGTAGGGGTGGGGAGGTAGGGAGAGCGTTTGCAGCTTGTTTTCTAACGGCTCGAAGAAGAGAATTATATATATAGATTAATTCTTCTAATTCTCGGAATGGCTTAGCGGTAGAGAGCTGGACTGCTAAACCCGTAAGTCTCGAGTTCGAATCCGGGTTCAAGTCAGTAGACCGTCCCTGAGTCCACCCAACTCTAATGGGTACCTAACTCATGTTAGGGAAAGTAAAGGCGGCTGGGCATAGTGCTGACCACATTACCTCTTCATATGCCGAGGTCACAGAAACAAGTGAACTCTACTTCACTTGCCCCATAGGCTGTCGGCTTTGAAAGGGAAACTTACTTTACTTTAATTCTCAGCAGCTGACCTGTAAAGCATTTTCTGTAGAACAGTTAATTCATCATATATTATGTTCTGATATATTATATTCTGTTATATTATATTCTGATTTTTTCTCCCAGGTTTTTTCATCATGATTGCATCTGTAGCCTCCTCGTACATGGCGGCAGCAGACATTATCCCAAACAGGGAGAGGCACATGGGATTCTGGGATCTCTGCGATGACACCCAGACGTTTGGCTGTAAAGATATGATAGAATACTTACGCTCTATAAAGGAGGGATTTGGTAAGTCTAGTGTATGTTAGTTTCCTGTTAGTCATACTGAATCAAGGGTCGCCTCCCCTGTTAGTCATACTGGAGCTTGGTAATCTCCCTTGTTTATCAGACTGGATTGTACATTTGGTTTTGTTTGGCCCTTTAGATCTGCATGAAGGAAAAAAATGACTTTTGTTAGCAGTTACCATCATAACTGAAATGCAGATCTCTGGGTTTTGAATGATTCTTATCAAAAGGTAGAGCATTTGACTGCAAGCTCCAAGACCTCAAGTTTGGATCTTGGTTGTTACATATGACTGTAGGATGTCCCTGAGTCCACCCAGCTCTGATTGGTACCTGACCCTGGTTAGGGAGGCAAAGATCTTATCACATTTTCCGTTCATATGCAGAAGCCATCAAAACAGATGAACTCTACTTCATCTGCCCCATGTATTTTGGGCAAGAAAAAGAAAAAAAAGATGATGAATGTATGACTGACTGATTCTTATAGATCCTTTTCAAATTTTTTTTTTACATTATACTGATTGATCTCCAAGTGTAGGCTAACAATAAGATGATTACATGCACATAAACTAATGCTACTGTTTCCCTGCCCTACTGCCCTAGTTTCCCTGCCCTAGTTTTCCTGCCCTATTGCCCTAGTTCGCCTGCCCTACTGCCCTAGTTTTCCTGTTTGATTGACATGTTCTCTGACCTTTGTCCCCAGATTGGGTCCACGGCTGCCGGGCAATGGTCATCATCGGCCTGATCATCCAGCTCTGCTCCGTCTTCGTCAGTCTGTACATGGCCTACATGGTGTCAGGGACTCACATAGGAAACCTGATCACTGCAGGGGGTGCTATCATTTCAGGTAGGTTGCCACTGCAGGGGGTGCTATCAATTCAGGTAAGTTTTCACTGCAGGTGGTGCTATCATTTCAGGTAGGTTGATCACTGCAGGTGGTGCTATCATTTCAGGTAGGTTGTCACTGCAGGTGGTGCTATCATTTCAGGTAGGTTGTCACTGCAGGTGGTGCTATCATTTCAGGTAGGTTGTCACTGCAGGTGGTGCTATCAATTCAGGTAAGTTTTCACTGCAGGTGGTGCTATCATTTCAGGTAGGTTGATCACTGCAGGTGGTGCTATCATTTCAGGTAGGTTGTCACTGCAGGTGGTGCTATCATTTCAGGTAGGTTGTCACTGCAGGTGGTGCTATCATTTCAGGTAGGTTGTCACTGCAGGTGGTGCTATCATTTCAGGTAAGTTGATCACTGCAGGCGGTGCTATCATTTCAGGTAAGTTGATCACTGCATGTAAATTGGCTATATTACTGGTAGGTTAGCTGTGAACATAATATATGCTTAGCTGTTACATGGAATATTTAAATAATATTTGTAACTGCTTAATGTTTATTGTCTTAAATGTTGAATTAGGGCGGGTAATATTATTTTCTTTTTTTTTAATACAAAATTGACAGTAAAGACCTAATTTATCATTTATAATTATTTTTTATTGAAATCATTCTCTGTGTTTTAAAGTTAGAAAAGCTGTAACATGATTTTGACATAAAATATGAAAAGTAATCACAAATAATTTTTTTAGATCAACTTAATATATTTATTACTGAAGTTGAAAAGGTGTATTTTTATATTTTTGCGTATAATAAAACATTTCATCAAATTTTGACAAAAAGTTACTGAATATTTTGCTCATTAAGATTAGGCAAATATTTTTTTTAAACTTGTGTGATTTATTTTTAATATATTGACCTTTTGATCTCTAACCTTTAACCCACCATTTTTCAGTTGTCTTTAATCTGATTGGTGGGCTTGTCTTCCTGGCCAATGCAATGGATATCCTGGAGACTACCCTGGAGATGGATTCGGATCCGTCCTGGTCCTTTGCCCTACTCATCATCTCCCAGGGATTTTACCTCATCGCCGCAGTGCTGCTCATATTTGATGCCTGCCGAGGAAATTAATGAACACCTTTTGATGATGTGCTTGTGAGTGAGTGCTTGTAACTGTTGGGTGTTTGTGGTTGATGCATTTCAAAATGTTTTAAACATGAATACTGGACAAGTGTATAATAATGTATAGCAATATACTTGTCTGGTGTAATATACATAATACATATTTGTACATTCACTGTTTTTTTTTTCTTGTAAACATTGTTTTCTTTTTTGTAATGAAAACTTCTGATCAATGTAAAGTTTCTATTTTTGATAAGAAAGGCGGGACTAATTTTAAATTTAAATTACTATAATGGCAGCAAATGGCTTTTTTTTTTCATGAGAGTTCAACTAAGTCTAGTTCAGTTGTATAAATGTGTTGCTAAAAATAGCATATTGTGACTTAATGCAATTAATATACCAACCTGATTAATAATATCTATTTGCCTTAAAACTAGAACATTTTGTACATATTTGATTAAATGATTTCTTTAAAAAAAAAGGCAGCTGTTAAAATAAGTGAGCCAATATTTGATTTTAAACATGTTTGATAACTTTAATCAGTCACTTTTTTGTTTTGTAAATTCATAATATCGATAAATTATGTTAAGTGATGAAGGCCAACATTGACCAAGGAAAGATACACATAAAGCTAACACCAGACCACCAATGTGTCATTAGATTGGCCACGGCGCTACATTTATTTTGTTTTACACAATCATTTTTTTTTTTACTAAATAATTTTTAGATAGAATTTTTCAGGTGTTAGGTAAAAAAATAAACTTTGTCTTGCTCCTGGTCACTACCTTAGAATAATGTAGTGTGGTGGTAGCCAACTTTATGTTGGTGGTAGCCAACTTTATGTCGGTGGTAGCCAACTTTATGTCGGTGGTAGCCAACTTTATGTCGGTGGTAGCCAACTTTATGTCAGTGGTAGCCAACTTTATGTTGGTGTTAGTCTGCTGAATATAGAATTTCGAGGTTAAAAGGTCACTGTCTAGACACATCCATTCACTATTTCTTACAGGTGGGGTTCTCACACTGTTGGCTTTAAAGTACAAAACAAATACAATACTTTCCACAATTATTATCCTACTGTAGTAAAGCTGAAGATAATGTCTAATGAGAGGTACTTGATTTAGGGATTTAAATTTTTTGAAACTATAGAGCTGGTTTTACAAAATTGTATTTTTAAAAATATAGGCTTTATAATGCTTAAGTACTTCTGTTTTAAACTTTTTATTCATATTGACTCTAGTTGTAATATATGATGATCAAAAATCATGTTTTTGTAACAAAGATTATGTTTTTGTTTTCTACTAAGTTCCAGTCACATTTTTATATTCATGAATAATTCCTGACCAAGACATTTCCACATTCCATATCTTCAAAGAAATTTCCAGACAACTAAGATATTAATCAAAGTCTTGTTCATCTAATCATTCTAATGTAAATAAACTTTTTACAACTTTCATTTTAGTTGTTGAATTTCTACAGTAGATTATCAGACCTTTGTTCAACTTTGTTGTAATGTTTTTTGTGAGTTTGATCCTTAACAAATACTAATAGATAAGATACTGAGTCCACTCAGTACTTAGAGGTACCTGGCATAGATCAAGGACAGTCGTTTAACTGAGAGATTTGTCACAACTGTGAAATTGTGACAGAAGCATTACATGTGAGCGTTTACTAAATTATTCATTCCCAAATTAACTAAACAGGCATCAGATTGTTCAGCAGTGTTTCTTTCAGACTTTTTTCTCCGGCAAGGGGGGGGGGGGGGGGCAGATACTGTATTTATTTCCTATATAAATTCCATTTCGAAGAGATGCATGGAAGACTCAGATTGTTCAGGTATTATGGTAGACCTTATCCATCTGTTTGTTCAGGTAATATGGTAGACCTTATCACCCGGTGCGGCACTTAATGGTGTCATCCCCCCAGCCAGAGGCGTAGCGACCCTTCCCGAGGCAAACTTTCAAACTTTCGATTTGCACCCCCCCCCCCCTCAAATTTTTCTCTATATATTTTGCTATTTTTTGCCTTGGTGTCACCCCCCTAAATGGTGTCACCCCCCCCCCCTCGCTACGCCTCTGTACCTTATCCATCTGTTTGTTCAGGTATTGTGGTAGACCTCATCGATATGTTTGTGTTTTGAGGGAAAATCTTTGTCAGGTGATGCTGACTGTAATTAATGTAAATTACCTTTACCCCGTAGGGGAGGGGGCACTAAAGATTGCATCGATAAAGTTGCTGAAGTAAAATTGCCATTTTCATCAATAGATGAAACAATCTTACCTCAATCATACAGTGAAAATTGACGTGTGATTGCGATAGGCCTACAGGTAATGTAAAATAATGTACTTGATATTTGAATTGGCCAAATATTAGTTTTCTTCGTTTTGTTGTACTATTTGTAAAACATACAGCTGCTAATATTATTTAAGACAAGTGAAATAAGGGAAAGAATCACTCTTTTAATAAGATTTTTTAAAAATGTATCATGGGCGTTAGCGTTTGTGTTTTCGTTTGTGGTTTTTGCGTTTGCATTTGTGTTTGCGTTTACATTGTGTTTGCGTTTTCTTTTGAGTTTATGTGTTTTTTTGTGTTTTCGTTTGTTTTTTGCATTTATGTTTGCATTGTGTTTGTGTTTGCAATTTTTTTGTGTTTTCGTTTTCTTATGTGCTGTGTTTGTGTTTTCTTTTGTGTTAGTGTTTGCGTTGTATTTGAGTTTGTGTTGCGTTTGCGTTTATTTCTGTTCCCAAGTTGGTACATTTTAAAAAAGATTCACCTTGGCGGAGCACGGGTATGCAGCTAATATTTATCTATATATAATGTTAGGTTTAACCTGTTTTTTCACATTGTGAAAAATTAATCTGAACCGAAAGATTTTATTTAACAACACGTTCGTCTAAGCCACCCATGCACTCTCTGGTTGAGTTCAAACATACAAGTGTTATCGAAGCTCGCATGAGACGAGGAAATCCTAGCGGCCCTCAAGCAGTCCCAACAGTTATCCAAAAGACCATAAAGGTTGGGGGTGAGAACACCAAACTGCAAGAGATACACTAGAAGGTCTTCGTAACACTGGAGAGTGTCAAGCACTCAAGTTATCTGCTCGCCGACCTCGACGAGTGTTTGAAGAACTTAAACGGTCCGGAATTTACACAAGATTTACACAAGAACTTTTTTCCTAAATACGCTAATTTGTGTTGATTGCATCAGCTAATTAGTGTTAAGCCAAAGACGCTGGTCGATATGAGCTCTAAGAATGAAGAAGAAAAAACCACTTTCACAGTAATCAACTATCAGGGCCACAAATGAAAACTAAAAATATTTTCGGCACTATAAAATAGAAAACTGCTTCCGCTTTCTTTTCCGTATTTGACGTAATAAAACCTGCTTGGTTTATACGTGACTAAAATATGTTCAAAGTTGAAGCTTATCATCTATTCCCGACAAAAGGAAATGTGCATGCATAGATTACATTTGATGTAAATGGCCAACCTCCGAGAGAGCAATTCGTTATTTGTCGTTAACTATTCAGAGCAACACCAATAGCCTGGTAGCTTTCGCTTTTTAGAGTTCTGCTATGGATTCGGACTTGAAAGCGTTGATTCTGAATAACGAATATTCTTTTAATTTAAAATTATTTTTAGAACCCTAATAGCTTTTTATTATCATCCGAATTCCGAAGCATTCTAGCTTAGGCTATATATAACATAATTTAATTAATAATTTTGTCCGAATAATTCTAACAGATCCGGAAACAGTAGTGTTGTAAATATGGCTTTAATATTGATGCTTTTGGATACTTTTATAAAATATTATAAATATATGAATAAAAAATCACCATTAAGTCCAAATACATACAGCTTTGCTGCGCAACAATTAGGTATAGATCTAGTTAATATTTTAACAGCAGACATCTTTAAGAGAATCTTATTTAGAGAATGTCCCTTCTATTCGCATAAAAATGCACAAAAACTCATTTGTTTTTATAAACTTTTAATTCACTATGAATGTTTTTACTTTCTCATTAGAGACTTTAGAGGAAGTATTGAAATCGTGCAGAAAAATTAAATTAAATTTTAACAGTTTTAAACTTTTATAAATAGAATAGACTCACGTAGAAAAAAGAATTGCGCACCTATCTGTGTATAATAGTGCGAGATATTAATAGTACTTTATAAATTCACATGCGTTTTTTTTGGAAATCGGAAATAGCGTAAATTACTACTTCAGGTCAACGGAAATTACTCAAAATTTGACAGTAGGCAGAAAGTTTGATATTTCACGTACATTTAAAATTTCATTTGTCTATCTGAAACAGTACTCAAGTTATAGACTTTTGAAAAATTTAAATAGAATAAATTCCACTTCCGGTTACCAGAAACCGCTGAAAAGTTGATGAAGAACTACAAATTCGATATAATACTTATATATGAAATTTCATCAAACTATCTCTATCGGTACTCAAGTTATCGTGCTCACAGACCACACACATACACACACATACACACACAGACAAACGGACAAAATTGCAAAACTATATTTTTCCGACCCAGTTTAGTAAGAGAATGGCTCGTGATAGCAAAACAACACAAAAAAAGAAAAAAAAAACTAAAAAAAAACCCCAACTAATTAAATAAAAGTAAAAATAATTAAGGTAATTTTATTTCATTAAATTAAAGTTTGTAAAAAAAGAAAAAAAAAACAAGTCCCATTGCATAGACATTTAAAGAAGCAATATTGATACCGAGTTTTATTTTTTTTTAAATACATTTTTCAAAAAAACAAGTAATTAAAAAAAGTCTAGTGACAATTTTAGCGCAATTTCCTTGTGTTATCTAAAAATAGCTCTGTCGTAGCGTAAATCAAGAGCAGGGTTAGTAAAACCATTGGTTAGTTATTAAAACGTTTTTTGTTAATTTTTTTTTCAGTATTTTACATGTTTCATTTACAATAGAGTAACATGACTAAAAACCATTGCGCGCCCAGCTACCGAACGTGAAGTCGCAGCCATTGAACGTGATGGCGCAGCTATTGAACGTGATGACGCGTGTGGTGTGGTGGCATAAAATGCCTACTAATTCGGTCCACATTTTAATTAATTCAAAAAATTTTTTGTGACCAAACGAAAGGATATTTTTGAAAACTTTCTTCGGCAATATTGTTCTAAATTATGGCAGGAATCGATTGGTACATGTTTCAAGTCGCTAAGTGGTCTGGTTGCCGAGATATGGGCCAAAAACTGCATTTTTTTGAGGTTTTTTGGCTTTTCCAGGAAATCCATGAAAGAAACCCGGAATTTTTATGGCCTATGTTCATCCTCGTAACTTGCTTAACATAATTGCTTTTGGAACTAGTCCTTGATATTGCTTCGTTGAGGAGGAGATACGACTTAAAGCTGCGGACACACATCCATCCATCCATTCATCCATCCATCCATTCCCAGAAAAGACGAGTTAATAAACGCAATTCTCCAGAATGGAAATTGCGCTAAAAATAGTATTTATTTTAAAATTTTTAAATAATTTCAAATTTTTGTATAATTAAAAAAAATCGAAATGCGATTGAAAAATCCAAAACGTTAATATGCTTTTCACTTTGTGTTCTAGGCGAGCAATACTGACAGAGTTGGGGGGGGGGGGGGGGGTTAGAGATCGGGATCTAGTTGAGCCATACTGACAGAGAGTTGTGTCGTGCACACAGGGAATTGAGGAGGTCTAAGCAGAGGCGTATCGAGGTTTTCGTTGTAGGGGGAGCGAAACGAGCAAAAAAAGGCGCCGATTTTTTAACGCGTTCTATATACGTGTATTATATATATATATATACGTGTATTATATATATATACGTGTATTATATATATATATATATATATATATATATATATATATATATATATATATATATATATATATATATATATATATAATTACTAGCTGTATGTCATTACTTCGCTATGATGTAAAATAAATTGAAAGTAGCACTCTGAAAATAAATAAGAAAAAAAAAACGCAATGTAGGCCGACAAAACAAAAATTGTATCAATCTAGAATAAAAACAAAAAAAAAAATCTACACACACTACAACCAAAAACAATGAACGTAACACAATCTGTTTTGTAATTCTTGTAAACAAATTTCTTACATAATAATTCCTGGGAAATTATTTAAGACAAGTGAGATAGGGGAAATAATCACTCTCTCAATATAAATATGTATATATCTACACATTTAATTATATATGTCAAAACAAATAAATAATTACTTTAGAATATAATAAAATTGTTTAACACTATTCGTGTTTACAAAATGTTTTTGTCTATAATCATAATTTAATATATCGATATCATAAATGCTAAAGTCATATAGCATAATGAAAGTTTTTAAAATCAGAGTAGGTATAAAACTACGCTTTTCGATATAATAGATGAAAGGAAAACAAATGAAACTAAACTATACATACA